CACGGGGGTATGGCGAGCGAAGGCATCAGAATATCAATTAACCTGCTCTGAACAAAGCTGAGGCTCCAGAGCGGAATAGACATTTCACTGAAGTGTCAGGAAGACGGATAATGTATTCTAATTAGGGACTGACGGATACCTCCGCGCTCAGCCACTCCTGGTAGTCGGACCCACGAACCTAACGAGCGTGTGCCATCATGGCACCGGCCGGGCGCTATTGACTGATTTATGACTTCTTGCTTTGCCAGAGTCGGTGGCCATTAAGTTGCTCTCAGCCAAAATGGCAGTGTCCCTCCCCCCCCCACCTACCCCCCGAAAGCGTGGTCCATTTTGCAACTGGGTAGTTGCCCACATTTGTATAAATGCAAGAGCTCAGTGCCCCGCCCGGGGTTTCCATCTTGAGGATGCCCCGGGACCTACACCCCGTGATACGGAGGCCTCGGTCACCACCCTTCCTTCCCGGGGAGGACTGACTGGGGTTCCGGGGGGATGAGGAATCTCCATGGCTGCCTTTGCCACAGAGCGCGTGCGTGCTGCCCTAAGGGGTCCCTTGGGGACCTTAGGACCTGGGTGATCACACCATCCCCCTGAGTCTGGGAGAGCAACCCCGGGGAGCCGGTGGCCTGGGGTTCCCTTCAGAGCCCCCCCCCCACCCTCTTTTAAAAATGTCACATCCGCCCCAGAATGACGCACGAGTGAAGCCAGGCTAATTAGGGAGATGTTCCTCATTTTGCTACACTTTTCCTATGTAATTGGTAGGCCCGCTCTCTTCCAGCGAGAAGTCGGTGAGAGCTGTTCCCCTGAATAGTTCTAAAAGCTCTGGACCACATACTGATATCAGCTGCAATTTATGGGCAAGATGATAATGATTGCTCGGTAATGCAATATTAAACGCCGAGGTCTTTCTCGGTGCTGAGCAGAGCCGGAGCTCCAACCCTCTCTCAGCTTCAAAAAGGAACTCGAAACGGTCCCCAGCAGCCCCCTGCCTGGCCCCGTACCAGAAGAGGCGATCGGTGGGCCCCCCCCCCCCCCCCCCCCCCCAAATAAAGAAAAACTGAGGGGGTCTGAACGTAGCTCAAGTTCAGAAAATTTTGGTTTGGCTTCCAGAGCTGCGAGCCGGGAGCTCGCAGACGTCGCGACTCCCGACTCCCATGGCAGGTGCACATCTGAGGTGTTTGTTCTTCTTAAGGGCCGCAGCCCGGCTCTAGGCCGGCTCTAACAAGGACTTGAGGGAGCAAAAGGCTGTTAAAATTTTTTTTGCACTTTTGCTTCATTAGTTCTAGAAACCCGGGTTCCGGAGGCTGAGCGCTTTCCTGCATAATTTAAGAAATTAATGAAGGCATGCCTGATTTTTTCAGCACTCTTTACTCTGTAAATTTGTTTCGTTTTTTTTTTTTTTTTTTTTAACTGTCAGCGGAGGCCTTTGGAACCTAAATATTTTAATATTGAAGAAATGCAGGCCCTTTTCTGGTTAGCTCCGTTTTTAGGAACATGCGGTGTGGTGGAAGTCAGGTGTTGTGGGTTGTAAAGGACCTTGAGTCTGAGTTCACCCCCAAAAGTCCACCCTCTGACCTTCAAGCAACCAAGTTCTCCTGATGACACGGGGGAGGGGGAGGGTCTCTGGTGGGGGTCCCCTCCTGAGAGCCAGTGTCAGAGACTGTGGCTTTCTGGAGTGGCCACCTGACCCCCTCGCTACTGAGTGGAGGCTCCAAGGGTTTCCTGCTTTGTTTCAATTCTTCCAAAGCTCACTTTGTATCGGGACATCAGATCGAAACCATTAAAAAGTATCTGTGGGTGTGTGTGTAACTCTAGACTCCCAGGACTTGAAAGGACTTCAGAAGTTGTTTAATGTGAACATTGCTGAGGGACATAAAACAACAGTTTAGACAAAAGGGAAGATAAGGTATTGATACTGTGAGACTGTCAACTCTTCATGAATTTATTTACACATTTAATGTCATTCCAGGGGTGCCCAGCTGGCACGGTCAGTGGAGCATGTGACTCCTGATCGCAGGGTCCTCAGTTCGAGCCCCACGTCGGGCGTAGAGATTACTTTAAAAAATTTGTTAAAAAGGGGCACCTGGGTGGCTCAGTGGACTTCAGCTCAGGTCATGATCTCACAGTCTGTGGGTTTGAGCCCCGCGTCGGGCTCTGGGCTGACGGCTCGGAGCCTGGAGCCTGCTTCAGATTCTGTGTCTCCTCCTCTCTCTGCCCCTCCCCTGCTCATGCTCTGTGTCTCTCTTTCTCAATAATAAACATTAAAAAAAATTTTTTTTAAATGTGTTAAAAAAAAATTTTTTTTTATGTTTATTCATTTTTGAAAGACAGAGAGAGACAGAGCACAAGCAGGGGTGGGGTGGGGTGAAAGGGGGACACAGACTCCAAAGCAGGCTCCAGGCTCTGAGCTGTCAGCACAGAGACCAATGTGGGGCTTGAACTCACAGACCGTGAGACGGTGACCTGAACCAAAGCCAGACGCTTAACGGACTGAGCCACCCAGGTAGCCTGAGAGAACATAATTTAAATGCAAGTGAATATTTACGGGCCTCTGCCGTGAGCAAGGCCTTTTTGCACATCCATACAACACCAGATCAAGAAAAGGCTGTTAAATTTTTTTTTTGCACTTTTGCTTCATTGGTTCTAGAAACCAGGGTTCCGGAGGCTGAGTGCTTTCCTGCATAACTTAAGAAATTAATGAAGGCATAGAGGCACTAGTTGATTTGGCCAAAAATTTATGTGGTAAAAAACAGCCCCCCACACAAAATTTAGAAAGTCAAAGACAATCTGCAAAAAATATCAGCAACATTGTTTGCCTCAAAGGGTCTGTGGTAGTGTTTGCCAAAATAGGTTCATTCTTCTTATGTAAAGAGCTCTTGTGAATAAATAAAAGGACAAAACCCCAAGAGGAAACTCGCTAGATAGTATGAATTGACATTTTGCAAAAGAAAAAAAAATTCAATTACCGATAAACATGTGGAAAAAATATGGAACCTCACTAACGATCAAGGAGACGTAAATTAAAGCAGCAATGGCATACTCTACTTTGCTGGACAGATTTCCCCCCCAAGATAATGCCCGACATTGACGAAGGTACAGGCAACAAGTGACCTGCTATTGGATTCCTACGCTGGTCAGGGCAGTTCTGTAGAGCAACATGGCGGAATGTATCAAGTCATAAAAGAGGGTTTTGACTGTTAGAAATCTATTTCCAGAATATTCTGTGTGCCTCAGGATACACTTACAGCGTTTTTAAAAATAATGGTGAAAAACAGGACTGAAACTAAATCAACAACAATATGGGATTGGTTAACGTTTGTCAGGTCAGTTCACCTCCTGCCCGGCAGCTGTGGAAACTTCCGGAAGGGGAGCATTTTATCACATGGGAAAATGTTCCAGAAATGTTTTTGCTGTATGAAAAGTACAGGCCACAAGATAGTATGCCCAGTGTGATTCCTTTTCCTGCCAGGAAAAAGATGCCAGTCACTGAAGGCTGGAAGGAGCTACAACAAAGTGTCAACAGTGGCTAGTCTCGGCCGGTGGTGTTACCAGTGACTTGGCATCCTCCACATCACATCCAGCAGTCGTGTGTTTCTTTCACAACTGGACTTACATGGTTCATAAAGATAAATGTTCTAGACCAGTTCCCTCACTGTATGTACCCAGAAGGGGCTGGAGCCTGAGGGATTTCAGCCCTGGAACAAGTTAGCCACAGAACAGAAACTTGAACTCAGTTCTCTTACTGCTCCAAGATTTGGGGCTTGTTCTTAAGAAAAGTGGGGTTTTGTTTGGACTCAAGCGATTCCTTCTCCCAGGATCTCTCATCTGAGAAACCCTCTTTAAGAAAGAGGGGCGCCTGGGGGGTTCAATCTGTTGAGTGTCCAACTTCAGCTCAGGTCATGATCTCGTGGTTGGTGAGTTCGAGCCCCGTGTCGGACTCTGTGCTGACAGCTCAGAGCTTGGAGCCTGCTGCGGATTCTGTCTCCCTTTCTCTCTCTCTCTCTCTCTGTCCCTCCCCGCTCATGCTCTGTCTCTTGCTCTCTCAAAAATAAACATTAAAAAAAACTTTTTTAATAAAAAAAAAAAAAAAGAAAGAATCCACAATGTGGAAAGAGCCATAGGCACAGCACCATTCATCACAGCGTTATTTATGATGGCAAGAATCGCTAGCAGTTGAAATGTTCTGTCGTGGGCATGTTTAAGCAACTGTGGCATGTTCATTGGGCAGAGTGTGGCAGACACTGAAAATGGTGGCAATGGGTAGGCGTGCCTATTTGAGAAAGTGCTTTGGTGGCTGTGAGGTGTGATGGAAAAAATTAGGACACAAAATATGTATGTTGTGATTATGGTCACAAATGTAGGATTCAGAAGGGAATGTAATAGGGACACCTGGGTGGCTCAGTTGAGTGTGTAGTCACCTTTGGCTCAGGTCATGATCTCAGGGTTCATGAGTTCCAGCCCCGTGTCGGGCTCACCGTTGTCAGCGCAGGGCCTGCTTGGGATCCTCTGTCCACCCCTCCCACTCTCTCTCTCTCTCTCTCTCTCTCTCTCTGAAAATAAGTAAACATTAAAAAAAAAAGAAGGGAATATAACAATAGAAGAGTACTTGTTAAGGTGGATGATGTGGCTATCAGAAACATTTACTTTCTTTTGTCTTAAAAGTTCCAGTTTTTTGGGGCGCCTGGGTGGCTCAGTCGGTTGAGCGGCCGACTTCGGCTCAGGTCATGATCTCACGGTCTGTGGGTTCGAGCCCCGCGCCGGGCTCTGTGCTGACAGCTCAGAGCCTGGAGCCTGTTTCGGATTCTGTGTCTCCCTCTCTCTGACCCTCCCCCGTTCATGCTCTGTCTCTCTCTGTCTCAAAAATAAATAAACGTTAAAAAAAAAAAATTAAAAAAAAAAGTTCCAGTTTTTTAAAATAACACTATTATATTCCTTTTATAATTCCAAAAAAAAAAAAATCTAAAAAGTAAAGATAGATGAGTACCTCTCAATTCTCTGCCTAGGGCTGGATTCTGGATGGCATTCCTGAAACTCGGGAGCAGGCCCTGATGATCCAGACCCTCGGGATCATCCCCAGACACGTCAGTGAGTAGCCTGTGGCTGTCCCCAGACCCCAGAAGGGAATGCCCTGCTCTGTATTGCCCAGTCCCAGTGCCCACCCTCAGCCCTGCACCAGCCAGGACCCAGCAGGAAAAAGTACAGCACAGTTGAATTTTATAAAGCTAAAGGCCTTTGGGGATCGCTCTCAGAAAAATGGAGTTTTAGGGTTGCCTGGGTGTCTCAGTCAGTTAAGCGTCCAACTTTGGCTCAGGTCATGATCTCACGGTTCATGGGTTCGGGCCCCACGTTGGGCTCTGTACTGACAGCTCGGAGCCTAGAGCCTGCTTTGAGTTCTGTGTCTCCCTCTCTCTGCCCCGCCCTCACTCATGTCTGTCTCCCTCTCTCTCTCTCTCAAAATGACTAAACATTAAAAAAAAATTTTAAGTAAGAAAAATGGAGTTTTGTTTTGACCCTGGCGGTTCCTTGTTCCGGGAATCCCACCTCTGAGAAGCTCTCTTTAGGAAATAATCCAAAATGTGGCAAGAGCATTCCCACCAAGACATTGCTCATCGCGTTGTTACCGTGAAAACTGTTAGAGGAGACGTTCAAGTGTGGGCTGTCCGCTGGCCTGAGACTGTGCCTTCGCGGTTGGGTGCTGAGCAGACCTCTCTAAGGGAACGTCGGGGGTGGTCGTTACATAGCAAGAGAGACGCAAGACAGGTTATCAGCCCCCGAGATTCAAGTGTCTGGGACCCGCCGCCCAACCTGCCTGGTTGTGCTCTCTCCCTTCTCTGTCCAGTTGTGCTGAGCTCTCCAGACACCGTCCTGATTGAGAGAAACTTGGGGAAGAGAATCGACCCTCAGACGGGAGGTAGGACGTCTCCACCCCCTGCCCGCTCCATGGGGTTTCAGAGGTGGTCAGTGATCGGTTGGAGTGACTGACAGCCCCACCCCCATTTACTGAGCCCTTCTCCGCTCGGGGTGCCCGCAGAGGGCCACACGGGGGCCGCACAGGCGGGCACGTGCTCCAGTGTGGCGTGCTGGGCTAGACCCGTGGGAGATGGTAAGCCCCGGCCTGGAGGAGTCGGGGCAGCAGACAGACCTGGGTTTGTGGACTCTGGCCCCGCCCCTTTCGAGACTCGGTTTTCTCACCTGGACACGGGGTGACCCGTGCCTTGTGATCGGATGGCTGTGAAGACGAGCATGTGCGGGTGGGGTCCGTCAGAGTGCCCGGCTCGGAGCACGTGCTCCGAAGTCGTGGCCGCCCTTTCCCGCCGTGCTGAGAGCCCTCGGCGTTTTGTTATCGTTAACAGAGATGTCAGAGCAGCTCCGGAGGCAAAGCGCATCCGCATGGCTCCGGGCGGGCTCCCAGGCTTCGGCCCCCTGGACAGCAAGCCCCCCAGCCAGATGCCCTGGCGGCCTCGGCAGCCCCCCGCGGGTGACTCTAACCACGCGCCTGTCCCCTTGCAGAGATTTATCACACCACCTTTGACTGGCCCCCCGAAGCGGAAATCCAGAACCGGCTGGTGGTGCCAGAGGGCATCTCAGAGCTGGAGACGGCACGGAAGCTGCTGGAATACCACAGGAACATCATCAGGATCCTTCCGGCTTACCCCAAGATCCTAAAAGTCATCAGCGCCGACCAGCCGTGCATGGACGTCTTCTACCAGGGTAAACACATAGGCGGTGGGTTTCCCAGGCACCTTGGCCGTCTGTGACCCTCCCGTCCTAGGGTCCCTTAATGTGGCAGTGATGCCAGGGACCAGGATGTGCCGGAGACCCTGGGAGTCAAGTCCTGGACGGCCTAGGTTCCCTGGGCTAATAACGTTCTACGATCGGCATGGCCAGCAGATTTGATAATGAGGGGGTGGGGCGGGAGGGACAGCGGGGGCAAGAAGTTTGGCCCTGGGGGTGAGGGAGAAGGAAGAGAAAGTTTGTAAAAATTAAAACAGACATGCGCACAGAACCCACGGCCACCGCGCACACACACACACACACACAAACCGGGCAACACAACTCAGGGGTTGTGAGTCCATGCAGAGCAGGGGAAGTGGCCCCACCCCCTCCCACTGCACTGTCATTGGAGCAGTGACAAAGGTCCACAGAAAGCACCTGAAGCAGGTGCATGTGTGCGCACAGCCGTGTGGAGGAGGGTGAAGTTTGAGCCTGGAGACGTCGGGGCCGGGGGCCCTGTGTTCACACGTCGTCCCCACCACACGTCAGCCGGGCAGTCTCCGGCAACCCTTGTACCCCTCTTGGCCTCAGTTTTGTCATCCCTGAAGTGGGAACAGAAATCTTGTCTTCCTCCCAGGCTTGGGTGAGAATTACATGGGAGTCTGCAAATCACATCTCCATAGCCGCGAGCCCAGCACGGGTGCGGAGAGGCACTCAGTAAACATCACACCTCATTGCTGTCGGGCCTTGGCATCCTGTCTCCAAGAAGGCCAGGGAAAGTTAGACTAGTTCGATCCCAGAGCAGCTGAATTATCATTCAGAAGTGTGTCCGCATCCGATTATCCCCTCCTAGGCAATGCTGAGGAAATGACACAATAAAAATGCCAGCACGGAGATCTGAGACACTTGATAGCCGACAATGGCCTTTTGGGGCGCATTCCCTCAAATCTCTTTAAGAAAAGTTTTGTTTTGCGGGGGAAGGGCTTCTGAGCTCCCTGGCCTGGCAGTTCCCCTGGCCCCCACCTGCCCATGGACTTTGCTGGACTCACAGCCCAGGGACAGCGGCCTCGCTCCCTGAGGAGGTCAATCAACCAACGGGTGGATGTCTAGAAAATGTCTCCACTTTACAAGCCGGGCTGTGGACACCTTATGGTTTTCCAGTGATTTTGCATCTCAGAAGGGTCTTTAGTAATCTACACTGCACTCTGAAGATAAACAGCCACTACATTTATCTTATGGCACGGTTCTGAATTTACACATTAATTACTTCCAAATCACTTAATTAAATTTAAAAGTTCAGATGATCGTTCATAAAGAATTCATGCCTGGAATTGTAAATAAAAATGTGAGTGTCTGAATATTAATTATTATTAATTAATAATGCAGACAGATACATTGAAAATTGGAGTGCGGAATTCTGTGTTGTTTTTTTAATCTCTCTGCAGTGCATCCAGCAACCACATATTTTTAAAAAGAATAATTAGATGTTGAGACTGTCTGGGGGATCATTAGTTCTAATTAACTTAGTTATTTACTGTAAATTAAGCATCATTTGTAAGCAGGCTTCTCTGCCCGTAGTGTCTGTGCATTTCAGATGGCCGTGGATCTAGGAAGTTCTGAGGCTGGAGGGGCCTTGCTTGAATGGCCTCCAGCTTATTCTCAGGGGCTGAAAATGTCACCCCAGCCGCAGGTGTGGGAGCATCGCCCCAGCCCTGCCAGCTCCCGGTAAAACGGGGCAAGAACGTAACACATCTCTCGTGGGAATGCTGCACCCATCGAATAAGACGAAGTCCGCAGAGTGTTTATTTAGCTTAGTGTTTAACACACGCTGGTAGGTATGACGTTGTCGTGAAGACAGTTAGAATCACCACCTTTACGACAGTCGGTTAACTTACCTGTGCCTCGATCTCCAAAGAAGAGGGGAGTTGTGGTCTCTAGAATGATTCTTCCAGTTAAAAAAATCCTACAAAGATTTGAGAGGTCAAAATTCATACAATGAACATCCCAGGGCTTCTCATGGGCCCCCCACTTCCATCCTGGGGACATTGGTGGTTGTCACAACTTGGAAGTGGGCCACTGGCACCTGGTGGGTGTGCCCAAACCCCTGGACCAGGAATGTGCCCAAAATGCCACGAGCACGCAGTTGGCACACCCTGGTTTCGGGGGTGGTTGGGTCCCTAAAGGCCGCGTGTTGGCTCAGCCCCTTGCTAGAGCTAAATCCGTCCAAGGGCAGGACAGCCACCAGAGGGCCGTCCGTGGCCGACCCTGCGCAGGACGGTCTGGGTCCCTGGCAGGAGGCAAGGCTAGAGAGGGAGACCTGTTCTGATATGGGTGGCTGGGGAGCTGGCACCGGCCCTCGGCATCAGCAGGTGCCAAGCTGCCCTGTAATGGCCTCCTCGGCTGCTTGCACAGCCCCTCCCCCGTGCTCAGGTCAGGGGTGACCTGGTTTGCTGTTGAGTCGCCTGAGTGTTGGAGACGCTGGCCCCCGTGCCTCCCCCTCTTTGTTCATCAAATGCCAGGGCCTGCCACGGGCCAGCCGTGCACCCACATCTGCCCACTCCTGGGACCTATTTGGTCACTGTCTCTTTGGAGACTCCCAACAAAGTTGGTGTCACTGGAGCGCAGCCGCAAGTTAGTCTCTACCCATGCCCTTTAGAAGTCCCCGGACACGAGGCCCCCTCCAGGCCTGATGCATTTATCAAAGTCTAGATCTGACACTGGGAGACGCCCGGTTCCAAGCTTCAGGCTAGAGGCTCGGCCCAGGGTCAGTGTGGAAACATCCCAACCCAACCTTATGCATCCCGTGTGCTGGGACCAGCCCCCCGTCGACCAGGAGGGAAGCGCAGGTGTTAGAGGAACCGCAGGGTGGACAGTGCTTCGGAGGTGGCTTCTCTGGATCCCCTGCCCCCCTCTGCCTTAGTGCCCAGGCCTGAAGCGGATTTCCTTCCCCACAGCTTCGCCCCGTGGCGGCTGGCGGCTGGCAGCCGCCCAGGGGGTTTCCACGCAGCTGTAAACGGGAGAAATCGTCACTGTTCTTAAGAGCGTGAGCGCAGGTGCCTTAAGCTGGTTTCCCTTCCTTTAGGACCTGAGTTTACTATGCCCGTATCCTCTCTTTCCAGCTCTGACCTATGCCCAAACCAGCCATCGATCTAATGCCCCGTTCACCCCGCGGGTGCTGCTTTGCGGGCCCGTGGGCAGTGGGAAACGTCTGCAGGCTGCCCTCCTGGCCCAGAAATACGGCCTCGTCAACGGTGAGTGCCCCGGCTGCGCCCTGTTTCCAGAACCTGCCCCCGCCCCCCTTCCCCCACTGCCCTCCCAGGCCTTCCCACCTTGTGGGGGTGGTGAGAAGGAGGTCAGTGTTGCTTCTCTTTCTTGCTCTCTGCCGTCAACAGTTTTCAGGTCCGTCTTCGCAGGGATGGTTCCTCACAGAGAATATGGCCATAAAAACATTAACCAATAAAAACACGTCCGCCGCCCAAAGAGCCCATGCATTTTCTAGTCATCATATTTCACTCCTTGGGAGCAGTGGTTTCTCTGTGCTCTGCACCAGGGGCGCTTCCTCCGGCCCCTGCGGTCTCCCCGGAAGCCACAGCTCTCGCATAATCTGGAGCTCTGCTGCGGATTTATTTTCTCCGGTCCCGTTTGGCTCCCCAGCCCAGGCCAGCGGGTTTACGGGCAAACAGTTTCTGAACCAGAGGAAGGCTTCTCGAAAGCTCGTACAGTTTCAATAAATATTTTACCAGGAGGAGAGGGAAATACTGAAATCGGTTCTCCGGGCCTGTCCCGAGGTGGCCCCCGGCGGTCTCAGATGCCAGCCTCCCTTCAGGGGGATAAAGGCCAGAAAGGAGGAAAAAGCGGAACAGACAACAACGCGGCTGCCAGGAGCGAAAGGGCCGCCCTCACCGCCACCGCCGCTTCTGATAAATGCTCCGCAAGCCCGAGTAACCTCTAGCTGTGAAGGAAAAACGAGACCCGCGCCCCAAATGTAAAAATACGCATATATACGTCTCCAAATCCTGCAGATACGCCCCGCAAATATCTATGTATACAAACAAGCACGGATGTACGTGTACCAGCCCAGAAGGATCAAGTTTCGAACGAAAACGCCTTTCAAGTAGGTGGCCTCTCACGTAAAGTTCCAAAGCCACTGAGACTAGCCAGGAATCAGCGAAGAAAATCCTACCCGGGACGTGAAGATAGGGAGCGGAGCGATTGTTGTGTTTAGTAATGAAAAATAGTCGTACTAGTAGCCTCGTGAAAATACCAAACGGCAGTGCTCTGATTTGATGAGTACGGAAAGGCACTCTGGATACCTTAGGGTGAAAAATGCTTTGGCTTGCACCGATTTGAAAACAACAACAACAACAAAACAAAACAAATTATTCAGGTAACTTGTTCTTTAGGTTTTACCTCTTGACTTATTACAAGGCTCAATTTGCAGCTACGGTTGTGGTGTCTTTGCCGAGAGCGAGCACCAGTCTGTTGGCCGCTGCACCCACGTGTTTATCGAGGGGACTGTCGTACGAAGGGCTGGAACAGCGTGAGCGGCCGAGGGCGGCTCTGAAAGCCTCAACAGTGGTAGAGCGCCAGGCCTCACGGAAACCGTTGTCACTGCCGGATTTTGTTTACACAAACAGAGTCATTCAGGAAAAACGTATTTAAATTCACATTGCTTTCCACGGACCAGTCACGAAAAATGAAATCATAGGCCTAGATTTTTTCCCAAACGGAAGATCGGAGCAAGCTCATCACGGTTTCTGTTTTGTAGCTAAAGAGCCACGTGGGGGCCTTTTCTGCTAATCCAGCTAACTCAGAAAGTTCGCGTTTCTCGAAGGCGTTCTTGATAAGTACAAGACCCCGTGAGGCCCATCTGCATCCAGAGCTCAGGGAACGGCGGGCTCCCCTGTGGCCACCCCCTGGCTCAGCTCTCATGTCCCCATTTCCCGGCTCTTCGGTTGTGGGCAAACAGCTCTGAACAAGCAAACAAACCAACGTTCGCTCCAACAGGGTTGATTGGAACACTCGTGTTCACAATTGGTTGAGAGTATAAAAAAGGCACTTTTTGAAAGACAGCAGGCACCGTGGGGTCACATGTGAACTGTGCGCATGCTCTGGCCCAGCGATTTCGCTCCGTGGGTTTTATTCTACCGAAGCACTCAGATGTCGAACAAGAGATGTGAGGGTGCATGATGGAAGAGAGGCGACCCCGAACTCTTGTTAATAAGGGGGATAATTAAGTAAGCTGTGGGAAACCCATACACTGGAGCATTAATTATTTAATGATGAATCAACGTGAAGGGGCAGCTATTGAAAAGAAACCTGTAAAGTGACTTGATGTTCGTGATATGTTGTTAAATGAGAGAGGGGGTGGAGAGCCAGTCGCTCAACAGTGTTCAGGGGATGATCTCCTTTCCGTTTACAATGTGTGTTAGTGTATGCTCAGAAAACATCAGAAGGAACATGCATACGCCAAACTGGCTGTCTCTGTGGAGTGGCATGTTCTACAATTCTGATTTTTTCTTTTTGTAGCGAGCGTGAATTTTCTAACCAGAGACAACCGTGAAGAATTTTATTCCAATGTCATAATCGCCCTCATTGAGTCTCCGCTCTATGCGGTGCCCTTTATTGGCACGCAGACAGGGAAGATGTAGAAAGAACCAGAGAGGAATGTATGGATCCGGGTGCACGACCAGGCTGGGAGAGGGGAGCAAGCAAGGCTGTCCAACCTAGTTCCAGGTCTGAACGTGTCCCCAGCCTTGGTCCCGGGACCCGTTAGGAGAGAGAAGATTATTACAGGGTTTTCTTCATGGGACATCGTGAAGCGAGGCAGGGGCTTTAAACCATTCTTTCCTAATACAAGCACTGAACACTACGCATTTTCCTCTAAGCGCTTCTTTAGCTGCATCTCACAGAATTTTAATGTGTTGTGTTTTATCATTGGGTTCAAAACATTTTCTCATCTGCCTTGTGGTTTCTTTTTTGACTTGTGTATGATGTAGAAGTGTATTGCTTAATTTCCAAATATTTGGGAGTTTTCCAGGTTTGTGGGGCAGGGGAAGTATCGATTTCTAATTCCTCTGTGCTCAGAGAACCTACCTTGTACGATTTCAGTCCTTTGAGATGTACTGATACTTTTTTGTGGCTCAGCGTGGTGAATTCCATGTGCACTAGAAGAGAATATGTGTTCTGGCATTGTAGGAGGCAGTGCTCCACAAATGTCAATTAGGAGAAGATGTCTGATAGGGTTGTTCAGTTCTTCCGTGTCCTCCATGGTTTCTCACTGCTATTGTTTAGTTACCAAAAGGGATCTGTTCAAATCCCCAGCTCTGCCTGTGGGTGAGTCTCTGCTCTGCCGGTTTCTGCTACATGTTATTTGAAGCTCCGTTCCTGGGAGCATGTACGCTGAGGACTGCTGTGTCATCATCGTCGTTGTCTTCTCCCCCTCCCCCTCCCCCTCCTCTTCCTCCTCCTCCTCCTCCTCCTCCTTCTTCTTCTTCTTCTCTTTCTTCTTCTTCTTCTTCTTCTTCTTCTTCTTCTTCTTCTTCTTCTTCTTCAAAGATACTTTTTAAAATGTATCCTTTTTTTTTTTTTAAGTATTTACTTATGTATTTTTGAGAGAGAGAGAGAGAGCCATGTGAGTGAGGGAGGGAGGGGAGACAGAGGATCTGAAGCGGGATCTGTGCTGTCAGCACAGAGCCCGACGCGGGGCTCGAAACCACAAACCGCGAGATCATGACCTGAGCCGAAGTCGGACGCTTCGCCGACTGAGCCACCCAGGCGCCCCCTGCTGTGTCTTCTTGATGACATGACCGCTTTATGGTTAGGAAACGCTCCCCTGTCTCCGGTAACACTTATCTTCTTGGAGTCTACTTCATCTGATACTAACATAGCCACTCTCTTATGATTAGTATCTGTATGGTATATATTCTTTTTTCTTTTGATTTTTTTTAATGTTTATTTATGTCTGAGAGAGACAGAGAGACAGAGCAAGAACAAAGGAGGGGCAGAGATTGAGAGGGAGACACAGAATCCGAAGCAGGCTCCAGGCTCTGCGCTGTCAGCACAGAGCCCTACTCGGGGCTCAACCCCACAAACCGTGAGATCATGACCTGAGCCGAAGTCGGATGCTTCACCGACTGAGCCACCCAGGCGCCCCCTGTCTTTTCTCTTTTAAATCATCTGTGTCTTCCATTCAAAATATGTGACTTGTACACAGCATATAATTGTATCCTGCTTTTTTTTTTTTTTAATGCAGTCTGACATTTTCATCCTTCAATTGAGATGTTCAGTACATGTCCATTTTAAGTAGTTTTCAGTATGGTGTCAAGCCTCCTGTCCTGGGTGTTTTGTCTTCTGTTACCTCTTCTTTGTTTCTGCTTTCCTGCCAACTGTTGGATTAACCCAGTGCTTTTTAGCAATCCATTTCATTTCCTCTGTTGCCTTTTTTGCTATATGTCTTTGCTTTCTTTTGCTCATGGCTGCTCTAGGGGTCACAGAGCATCATTCACTTGTCACAGTCTGCCTTGAATTAATGCTCTACCTCTTTGTGTATAATACAAGAGCCTACGGTGCTGTATTTCCATTTACCTTGCTCTCGTCCTTTGTGCTATTTTTTTGTCGTACATTTTACTTCCCCATGTTATAAACTCTACAGTATATTGTAATTATTTTTGCTTTGGTCACTTGGTTTCTTTCTTTCTTTCTCTTTCTTTTCTTTCTTTCTTTCTTTCTTTCTTTCTTTCTTTCTTTCTTTCTTTCAATGAAAGCATGAAGGGGAAAGGTCCCGTGATATACCTACACATAGCAACCCTTTTTTGTTTAGGTCTAAATTTCCACCCGCTATCACTCTCTTTCAGCCTAAAGAACCTCCTTTAACATTTCTTGTAGTGCACGTCTGCTGGCGACAAATTCCACTTTCATCTGTCTGAAAATGTCTGTATTGCACCTTCATTCTTGAAGGACGTTCCTGCTGCACATAGAAATCTATGCTGACAGGCTTTCCTCTTCGCGCTTTAAGCACGGCATTCCGTTGTCTTACGGCCCGCGTTGCCTCGGATGAGAACTCGGGTTATTTTTATCATTGTTCCCCCATGTATAGAGCGTCTCCCCACCCAGCCGCGCTAACTAGTTTCTCTTTGTCTTTACTTTTCAGAAACTCAACTATGATGTGTCAAGGTGTGGTTTACTTTGGGTTTATTCTGGTTGGGTCTCAGAGATTCTCCGATCTGTGGATTGATGTTTTTCATCAAATTTTGAAATATTTTTCATCAGATTTTGAGACTCTCTTGCCATTATTTTCTCAAATGTATTTTTCTGCCTCTCTGTGTCACCACTCCCTCCCTTCCCTCTCCCTCCTTTCTGGAACTCTGATTGCATGTACGTGACACTGACTGGTACCGCCCTCCAGGTCTCTGAGGTTCTAGTCTTTTTTCCGGGCCTCCCTTCACTTCCTCTTTGCTTTGGTTTGGATACTGTATGACCTGTCTTCCTGTCTTCCGCTTCATGGATTGCAACCTATCCAATGATGTTTTCCATTTAAGATACTGTATTTTCCAGTTTCTAGAATTTGCATCTGGTTCTTTTATATAGGTTCCATTTCTCTGCTGAGATTCCCCAGCTGCTCACCCATTTCAACTGTCTTTCCCTTTACAATTATAAATATATCAACGAGAGTTGGTTTCAGTTCTCGTGTGCTTATTCTGACACCCAGGTCACCTCTTGATCTGATTCTATAGCCTGTTTTCTCTCTTTGTAGGGGTCACACTTTCCTGATTGATGGGTCTTTGCATCTCAAGTAGTTTTTCATTAGATGCTAGACGTTGTGGTTCTCACATTGCTGAGAGTCTGGATTGTGTGGTTCTGCTTTAAGAGCAGTAAGTTAAGGGGCGCGTGGGTGGTTCAGCCGGTTAAGCATCCGACTTCGGCTCAGGTCATGATCTCGCGGTTTGTGGTTTCGAGCCCCGCATCGGGCTCTGTGCTGACAGCTCAGAGCCTGGAGCCTGCTTTGGATTCTGTGTCTCCCTCTCTCTTTGCCCCTCCCCCGCTCATGCTCACTTTCTCTTGCTCTCAAAAATAAATAAACATTAAAAAAATTTAAAAAGAACAGTAAGTTAAAAGTTGAGTGCTAGGAACGCCTGGCGGGGCTCAGTTGGTTGAGCGTCCAACTCTGGAGTTTGGCTCAGGTCGTGATCCCTGGGTCATGGGATCGAGCCCCACATCAGTGCTAAGTGAGGAGTCTGCTTGGGATTCTCTCTCTGCTCCTCTCCCCAGCTCTCTCTAAAAAAAAAATAATAATGGGGGGGTGGGAGGGAGGGGAAAGTGGGTGATGGGCATTGAGGAGGGCACCTGTTGGGATGAGCACTGGGTGTTGTATGGAAATCAATTTGACAATAAATTTCATATTAAAAAGAATAAAAAATAAAAAATAATAAAATAATAAAATAAATGAAAAAAAAAAAAAGAGTTGAGTGCTAATAGGCAGTTAATTCACTACAGGATCAGCTTGATCCGGTGGACGCTTTTAGTTTTTGTTCAGGTGAGCCCCAAGTGTGCACGCTCGTGGGCTCCTGCCACCCCTGCACCCAGAACCTCAGGTGACTGGGTGCCGGGCACGGTCACACGGTCTCTCGCTCTGGCTGTCAGAGCACCAGCGTCTCCCTGCCTCTCCCTTGGCTCACAACGTCCCAGGGGCTTTTCTCTGCCAGGCCTGGGGTAGGGATAGGTTCTCACCTGCCACAGGTGCTGCTTTGCACTGACCGAAGACCCCAGTGAGTCCCCATGAGGATTTCTGAAGCCCTTCTCTGCACGGCTCCCTTCTCCCCATCACCCCGTTCCCCCAATTCCAGCGCTCGGTCCAGCCTTTGCTTCCCCCTGCTGTGTTTGGCTCCCTTTCTCCTGTGCTAAGGTCTGGAAAGTGCTTTTGTAAGTGGAAATCCAGGGTGAAGGTGGGACTCCCTTGGGTGTCTCCCTTCTCTCAGGGTTCACAGCGCTGTGAAGTCGGAGGTCTAATGCCTGAAAAGAACTGTTTCCCATCTTTGGCTCAGTTTTATAGCTTTCTTTTTTTTTTCCTTTTTTTTTTTTAATGTTTATTTATTTTTGAGAGAGGAGAGAGAGAGAGAGAGACAGAGTGTGAGTGGGGGAGAAGCAGAGAGAGAGGGAGACACAGGATCCAAAGCAGGCTCCAGGCTCTGAGCGGTCAGCCCGGAGCCCGACGCGGGGCTCGAACTCACGGACCGTGAGATCATGACCTGAGCCGAAGCCGGACGCTTAACCGACTGAGCCCCCCAGGCGCCCCAGTTTTACAGCTTTCTGTGACAGAGGGTACACACGACATCTGCCACTCCTTCCTGGCCAGAACGGGAAGCCAAGCGTGGGTTTGATGTCACACAGACGTGGGTTTGAATCCCAGCTCGGCTGCCTAGGGCTCTGCACCCCGGGACGGTTTGGTCCACCTCTTTGCATACCCAGCACACTGCTAGGTACGTAGGAAGGTCTCAGACACCATCAGCCTTTGTTGTCACCCATGTTCCCTTAGTGAGGGACACTGCCAGCTGCTTTGGATATGATCCCTGCTGTCCTTCACGCAGCAAATTAAGCACATTGTCACTGAGGGATAAATCTTTGGTGATGGTTGTTGCCTTAAACACTCACCTTTCCCAGTTCATTTTAGGGGTGTTTTTGTTTTTTTTTAATTTGTTAATGTTTATTCATTTCTGAGAGAGAGAGAGACAGAACGTGAGCAGGGGAGGGGCAGAGAGAGAGGGAGACACAGAATCGGAAACAGGCTCCAGGCTCTGAGCCGTCAGCACAGAGCCCGACGCGGGGCTCGAACCCACGAACCGTGAGATCATGTCCTGAGCTGAAGTCAGACGCTCAACCGACCGAGCCACCCAGGCGCCCCTGCACCGTCCATTTTCAATCTGTTCTCTGCCAGATACATGCCTTTTCATTCCGAGCCGTCCTCCTCGGTTTCTTCTTTATTCCCCAGGTCCTTTTTGATATTTGCTCTCACTTGGACACACACCCCCACCCTCAGAAAAACCCTTTTATATTTTTTCTCAGTGACCTTTTTTCCCCCCTGGCAGGTGGCACCGGGGCTTCTTTTTTTCTCATTCTTCCTTCTGTTTAAAATTTCATGGGTGTCTTTCTGTTCCTCTCTCCTCCAGTCCACTGTGGGCAACTGTTGAAAGAGGCAGTAGCAGACAAGTCAAAAGTCGGCGAGCTCATCCAGCCCTATTTTCAAAAGAAGATGGCAGGTAGGTCACACTCCTCTCAACTGCCACAGCCATATGGGCTCGGGGGGGGGGGGGGGAACAAATCGCTCCGTGTGGGGCTCATGAGCACTGGTGGGGGCTCAGCCCCGGAAAGGTGGCTGCGAGATGGAAATTGGGCTTTCCTGACAGCAGAGGTTCTGTGTTCGTTCACCGGCAGGGCCCACAGGCTTCCAGCCGTGTCCCGATTTGGGGGGTGGGTTGTGGACACCATGTGTTATTCCTGGAGGTTTGGGCTGTTTCTGTTTCTCGAGAACGGATGCTTTTCGTAACTGCTGACACTTGAGATTGAGAGCCACGGAGCTGCCCACAGCCTTTATTGCTGGCCATACAGAAATACTGAGGACAAATGTTCCGGTTTAGTCGGAAGTCAAAAGCCAGAAGGTTCAGACAGCTTTGCAGATCCAAGGGTCCACCGGCCCCTGGTCCTCGGGGGCTTCGAGGGGGGAGGCTGGGCCACATCGTCCTTCCAGGCCCTTCTGCGATGTACCGTCTGAGAGCATTGTCGGTCAGCCCCCAGCAAGGGCACCTTTGAGATCATTCTATTTCGATTTCCTGAGCCCAAGATGATCCGCAAGGCCACGTGGCCACCTCACGTCTGAGCCCCTCTGGACCCGGTGTCCCCACCCCCGCGGCAGGGCATTCCCTGCACCCACATCTTCTTGCCCTGCACCAGGTGTGGTTCCTCTGTGCCGTCCCCCAAGTGTCTGTGAACACGTACTTGGGGGAGGGCGTGTGTTGGCGAGGACGCCCTCCCGGCGGAGCACTCACTGCCGTCCCCTACCATCTTCCGGATAGAGTAGGTGGAGGGGAGCACAGGAGACGGGCCGTTTGCTCCTGACCCGCCAGCTGGGGGGGGGGACACCTGCGACTCCGTCCTGGCATGGCTCTCCCAAGCCCCCCCCTTAGAAGATGCCCCCGTCCCCCAGGGTGAGGGTCAGGTGAGGTGCGGTCAGACCCTTTGGACACAGCGATCTGTGCAGAGAGGGAGTCCGTTCATTCCCGCGTCACTGGGGTGTAAATTGAGCGGAGGCAGGAAGCTCCAGGCAGGACTGCAAGCCAGTGTGAGCGTTGGCACCTCCCTGTCTGATTTGGACCCCGAGCCGCCCCCGCGAGCCGTGCAGCCCTCGTCAGAGCCCGAGGCCTCAGTGGTGAGCTGGGGACAGGAGTCCCCGGGTCGCAGGGTTCCCGTGGGCGCACGGGATGTGGCGCGCACACACGTGCCCGGCAGGCGCGCTGTCGGAGAGCGACCTGCACGCGGCAGGCGGGTCCGTGGAGGGCCCGGCACACTCGGGCACGGTCTCCCTCCAGCAACACCATGTCCCATCCACCGGGGTGGGTGCTGCTGGTTCTTAGCACCCTAGAGAACATTTGCCGGGCAAGTGGGCGAATGTAGCGAAGTAACAAATTTACATCACTTTGTCTATTTTTAAAGCTTATTTCTTTATTTTGAGCTGTCAGCACAGAGCCTGGTGCGGGGCTCCGACTCGCGAACCGCAAGATCATGACCTGAGACAAAGCCAGACGCTTAACCGACTGCGCCCCCCCGGCGCCCCTAAGCTTAGTGGTTTTAGACAACACGCATTTATTACCGGGCAGTTGTAGAGGGCAGAATCCCGGAACCAGGGTGTGATGGGGCCACGATTCCCCCTGGAGGCTCCCGGGGAGTCTGTTTCGTCGCCGCTCGGGCTCCCAGAGGCCCTTCCTCCGTCCTCACAGCCAGCTCTTGGTGCCCCGTCAGACCTCTCGCTCCCCGACCACTGAAAACAAACCCCCAGTTTGCAGTGGTGGGCAAGAGGCAGAATTATTGTTTGTCTCGGGGAGTTTTGGCGACCACCAAAGAGACCGAGGGCACCTGTCCCCGTAAAGCCGGGGGGACCGGCAGCCTCCGTGGCCGAGGCTCCGCCCTTCGTTGTCCCCTCTGCACCCTGTTGATTTGGACGTGCAGCTCTGTGCTCCTGCACTCGCTACACAGTTGAAGACACAACAGCAGCCACTGCTGTGTGTTCTCAACGGAAGCAATAGATTCTGGCGTTTCACTAATCCCAATCTCGCAGGGATAACGGACAGGGTTTACACCCATCGCCACTAACCAGGTGTCATTACGGGCCGTGCGGAAGCCGCAGACACAGCCACGCGCCCGGGTGGGCACGGGAGCAGGGCTGGAGCCACCAGGTCGGGGGTCCGCTCGCCACCGGCTGAAACAGGAAGAAGACAGTGTAAACGATTCCGACCGAACTCGGATTTGAAGGGAAGGTCACGCTGAACACGGAAGCTCCGCTCAGCCGACCGCAGCCTGGCTTCTCTGCAAATCACTGTAGGGGCTGACTTCTGAGCCCACTGGGGGGGGCCGACCCAGAGTTCTCCGCGGGCCTCGGGTGGAGAACGTGGCAGGGCCGTGAGGGCACATTTGGGCTTCCGGACACGGTTTCTCCCATCCAGGTCTGGGGCCGAGCCCGTGGAGATGCCTCCTCCTGATAAATGGCCCAGCCCTGGCAGTGGGGACGGGGCGACTGGCCTCAGACCTGCCCCGGGGGGAGCCTGACTGAGTGCAGGCAGGAGTGGGGAGGGCACAGTGGGGACGAGGGCCGGCCAGCTGGAGGCCGGGAGCCGGGAGGACGGAGCCGGTCCAACGAACGCGTCTCCTCTCTGGGGAAGAGTGAGGCCGAGGGCAGGGGAGCAGAGTTCCTCTCCCGGGTGCTGCCCTGGGCTCCGAGGTGTCCCCCCGACGCTGAGAGCAGCGAGGCACGTCCCCTTACGCCGTGACCCGTCGGCAGAATTCAGCAGAACGAGAATAGTCACTCTTCCGTTGCTCTTGGGGGCCTGCCGAGGCATCCGAATTTCCCTCTTCAAAGCCTAGGCGCCTTTCAGACGTCTCTGCCCGGGGCGCCAGCAGCGATTCCTGGGGGCACGGAGAGCGCCCGGCCACTCCTCCACACGTGTGCAATCCAGAGGGTTCAGCCAGCTCGGCTAAAGGGGCGGAGGCTCTTGCGAGGGCTCGGAGGCCTCATCACCCTGGGGCAGAGCTGGCAGATGTCACCGGCAGATGTCACCGGCAGAGCATCTTACCCCGCAGCCGCCCTGCTGTAGAAACTCACCCCGCCACCCCGCATACCAGACGGTGCCCTTCTGGGTACCACGCTGCCTGCGCTGGGGACCCTGCCCTGTGCTCCTGGCTGCTGGCCTGCCCGCCACCCCTCCCGCCCGCTGTCCCTGGGACCCCCGCCGTCACAGCCTCTTGCCCTCTCTCCACTCACCTTGGCGCTCCAAGCCCCAGAGACGGGCAGCTTTCTGACCGTGGCACCTCTCCGCCACCCTCGTGGTCACCGTCACCGCCGTCGCCAGTGCGGCTGAGTAGATCCAGATGCCGTCTGGGGGGGGGGGGGGGGGG